CCTGAGGACTTGATGCTGAGCTATGTCAGTGGCGAGAAGGGGAAAGATCGATCTGATCGGGATCTTGTTGCCCCATGGTTTAAATTTCTTTGGGAAACTTACAGGATTGTGCTTGAGATATTGCGGAACAACTCCAAATTGGAAGCATTATATGGTATGACAGCTCACCAAGCTTTTCAGTTTTGTAAGTAATATAAAAGAACAACAGAGTTCAGAAGGCTTTGTGAAATCATTAGGAATCATTTGGCTAATTTTAACAAATATCTGGACCAACGAGACCGACCTGATCTTTCTGCTCCTGAAAGCTTGCAATGATATCTTGATACAAGATTTGAGCAGCAATTCAAAAGACAAAACAATGCAATGGTTGTAGTGTGTAATCTCAGGAAGTGCTAGATGCCGAAATTTCTGCCCGAGTTCTGCAGTTGATCAATGTAACTGACAGTGGAATGCACAGTCAGAGGTATGGTGAAATAAGCTAACAAAGACTTGAAAGCCGTCTAAGGCGTTACATCTGATCCATGGAAAGAGTCGCCCTTCACATATTTCTCGAGTCGTCCCTCCTGGATCAACCTCTCGATTTTTTTCTTGAGTTGATAACAATTCTCACTGTGGTATCCCTTGACTCTATGGAACTTGCACCATCTTCTCGGTTTAGGACCCATTACATCTGCCTTAGAGCTAGAGCCTGGAAATGTTGTGCAGGTGAAGAACATCGTTCTATATCTGTTCATGGTGAGCGTCTACATGCCGGTTTAGTACCATAGGAGGAAAAATATGCCTATGGTAGGCACGAACTCCAAGAAACCGTATATGATTTTGAACGCAACGTCCATTCTTTGGGCGATAGCTAGGAGGGGAAACCATCATGGTCTCCCGAGCATCAGACTTAAAAAGAGAGTTTGGAATCAACACCCCTAATTCATGAATAATAAGGAGATTCAAATAGAAGAATTCGTCTGAGGTTCTAGCCGAAACGGCCCTGTTAACCCGTTCATATTTAGAATAGGGCTCCAAAATCACATTTGCCCCGTCGTCCGTTCTTGATAAGTTATTGCCTTTGTGGAAGAAATCCACCTTTTCCGGAATGGTGAAGGAAGTCTCATAATATTCAACTCTAAGGTGTTTTGAGGAGGTAAACGCTTATCGATCTTGAAGTTATTGGAAAAACATAGGGGGAAAATGGATCACTACAGAAATCCGAACTAATATCATAAGGGCTAAACATCTATATTTAATAAAGTATATGGTCAAACGTGCTATCAAGTTGCATAATGTTCCTCATAGAATAATCCCACATCTTATTCTTAAGGAAACATAATCTCCAATCTAACGCGTTATCCTTAACAAAGACTTGAAAGCCGTCTAAGGCGTTACATCAGAGGTATGGATTATTAAGGATTTGTGGAAGAATTGATTTTTCCTTCTCGTATATACTCATCGGGAAGTTAAGGAAACTGTTTTTCTCCTTATTACCTGGCCCAAGAAGCCATTAGTAAATACACCAAATTCAGAACTTAAATATTCGTTAAGTATTTTTACAAACCTAACATACAATGCCTCTCGCATGCATACGCGTAAAAGGACTTCTCTCTCATAAATACAAATACTAATCATATCATTCTAATTTTTTTTACAAATGATAAATATGACATATAAATATGATTATGCAAATAAAAATCTATAAAAAAATGAATGTCTATTATTTATCTTATCATATCTGTATTTCTTATAAATTACAGCATATACACGTGTAAATAATAAAGAAAATTAAACTAATTTGAATTAATATTTTAAAATATATCATTATTTTCTCTATAGAAATATATTTTGATTTTTTTCTTTCAAAAGTCAAATCATTAGTTGGAAAATCTGACAAATACTCTGTTCAGAATGACTGTATAGTATCTAAAAAGCTAATGTATCTAGTCTTAGTTTATAATAAGATACATCGATTTTTTGGGTAACCGTTCTTGATTATGTTTTACTTAGGAAAGAGCACAACCCCTCAATTTCTTTATAAATTTTCTTTGAAGGAAATTTTGATAAGAATCATTGTATAACAATAGAGAAAGATACGGAAAAAAACATTGATGAGTGCTGATCAATTAAACTCGCATCTTATGGAACTAGAACTCGACGATGATGGCAGAATCAAAAGAACAGGAAATGTAACAACAGCTACAACACACATAATAACCGTAGTAGTTGGAGCAGGAGTTTTAGCTCTATCATGGGCTATGGCTCAGCTAGGATGGATCCTTGGTATAACAAGTCTGTTCATCTTTTCATCCATTTCTGTTTTTACCTATGGCCTTATGGCTGATTGCTATAGGTTTCCAGATCCAATCAGTGGAAAAAGAAATTATACTTATATGCAAGCTGTGAAGCTTTACTTAGGTGGAAATATGCATATGCTTTGTGGATCAATTTTGTATGGGAAACTTGCTGGGATTACAGTTGGTTATACCATAACTTCGTCTATAAGTTTGGCAGCGGTAGAGAAAATTGTTTGTGTTCATAGAAAAGGACATGAAGTTGATTGTAGTAGCTCTTTAAATCCCTACATGGTTGGTTTTGGGATATTGCAGATGTTCTTGTCTCAAATTCCTAACTTTCATGAATTGACTTGGCTTTCAACGATTGCTGCTATTACGTCGTTTGGTTATGTTTTCATTGCGATTGCTCTTTGTCTTTCGCATATAATCTCAGGTGTTTTGTTTATACCGATTACATTATTTTGCAAATGATTTGAATTCATAGTTTTGTGTCTAATTAAGTGAGCATTTTGGATAACAATAGGAAAATGGGCACCCACAAGCATAACTGGAATTAAAGTAGGGCCAGAACTATCTCTTGAAGATAAAGTAATGAGGATGTGCAGTTCAATGGGAAACATAGCACTTGCTTGCACTTATGCTACGGTCATTTACGATATAATGGTAAAATAAAAACAACATTTTTCTCATTGAGTTATGAATTCGGATTCCCTGCATTGAGATTCTCTCGCATTGACGCATTCTATGTGATCTTGATCAAATGAACTGTCAATATACTTAATGCGTTGGAGAATCTTCAACCTTAGAGAATATAAGTATCTTGTTTATTTCTTACATGGATTTGATTATTCGATGACATTTTTGTTTAGGACACATTAAAGTCACATCCACCTGAAAATCGACAAATGAAAAGGGTTAATGTGATAGGAGTATCGGCTATGACAATGATATTCCTATTATGTAGTTGTCTTGGCTACGCCGCATTTGGTGACGACACACCAGGAAACATTTTTGTTGCATTTTATGAGCCATATTGGTTGGTTGTGCTTGGAGACATATTCGTTGTGATCCATGTGGTTGGAGCATATCAAGTGTTGGGACAACCATTCTTTCGTTTTATTGAAATGAATGCTAGCGCTATATGGCCCAAATCAAGTTTCATAAACAAGGAACATCCAATTAGTTTCGGCAATGCAACAGTTGATTTGAATTTGTTTAGGCTAATTTGGAGGACAATATTTGTGATTTTTGCAACCACTCTTGCCATGGCAATGCCTTTTTTCAATCAATTTCTTTCACTACTTGGAGCAATTGGTTTTGGGCCTTTAGTTGTGATACTCCCTATTCAAATGCACATTGCTCAAAATCATATAAGAAAATTGTCACTCAAGTGGTGTTTGCTGCAATGTTTGAACTGCATATTTTTACTTGTTTCTCTGGCTGCTACTGTTGCTTCAGTACATGAAATTAGTCAAAATCTCCACAAATATAAGATTTTTGCTTACAAACAATAGTATCTTTGTTAGTGTAATGAAGCCTAAATTTGGTGGGCCTTCCATTAATATCTTGTAATATTAAGATATGAAATTCAAATTTTATTGTACTTATAAAATAATCCTTAGTATCAATTTAATTAATAATCGTGGATTATTATAAGCCGAAACTCTCAAATTAGGAATTGAGCTAACTAATATTGATTAATGTAGAAGGCAAGATATAGAATCTGTCACTAAATGTGCAAGGACAAGATATAATAGTACTTGTGTACTTATTACCAATCTCATGAGCAAACATTATACTAGGATCAACATGGTTATAAAATTTGGGACCTCATGTGGCAGATTATGCAGCTTTGACACTCAAAATGTTTGCAAGTTCCTCACCCTACAAGGAGAAGGAGCCAAGTCAGTCACACAGGCTCAGTTCAAGTCTATTGCAGAGTGTTTTTCAGTTCAAGTGATACAAGCTGAAGTGAATGAGAATGTATTGAGTGAGCTCCCCAATAATATTGATCCTAATCTTTCAGATACTAGTGCAACCTGAAGACAATATTAGAATTATAAGCCACATTTCCTTGTTTTAGTTAGGTAGTTATCTACTTTGGCTTTAGGTTGTTACTTTTATTTGGGCTTAGTCGATAGTTTGCTTTTGGTCCAATTACGTATAACTGTATTTATACGTGAATAGTGTTTTTTATTAAAATAATATATTTTTTAAAATATTATTATTATTTTTAAAAAATATTTATTTTTAAAATTTATTTTATAACACAAATATAAAATTGTGTCATTAACCAACTTCACAATTGTATCAACCAAAACAATCTACATCATTAATCAATTATTTTTATATATAATTTATTAACCACTTTCACTACTTTATTATCAATAAAATACATACTATTAACCATGTTCTGAGACTAAATTATATATATATATATATATATATATATATATATATATATATATATATATATATATATATATATATAACTTTGAACTGTATTAACCAAATTTTAATACTTCATTAATCAAATTATTTTTGAAAAAGAAATACATTTCAAAGTCAAAATAATATAAAAAAAGTGAATTGGATGTAGTGTATTTTGTGTGTAAGAATAGCATTTTTATGACTGTTTAAAATAAAACTTTTGGCTGCCAACTGCCAGATGCCCAAACCGATATAGAGATAGCAAGAGGTATATGGAATTTCAAATTCAACATGTCACTCTCTCAGAGCCAGTGGCTATTTCGTCCTCTCACCAAATCACTTTTCTCCATTTCCATAACCTATGCATCAATCTCTCCCCAAAGGTTTTGCTGCCATTCATTACCACATTCCACCAAAGGTAACCACATTTCCCCCAATTTTGCAAGTGTAATTGGTTTGAATTTTCTTTTAGTATTGTTATTTAGGGTTCTCTAACATTATTGTTTAAATTGTGTTTGTGAAGATGCTGTGAAGCATGTTTTTGAAGATAGTAACTTTGATGAACCTAAAGTTAAAATATTGAAGCAGAAAATGGAACCACTTGGTATTACCTTAGATAACTCTTGTTTCCCTGGCAAGTACCATAACCTTTTTTGTCCAAAGGTATCAAATTTTCTTTTGCTTCACAAAACTAGAATCCAATTTTTCAACGTGTTTGGTTTTGTTTCTGAGTTCTATTTGATTTTGATATGCTAGTGTAATGGTGGACAGTTAATGGAGAGGAGTTTATCTTTTCATATTATCTCTGATTGGTAAGCATCTTCTATTTGCTTTGAGGTTTCGAGTGTGTCTTCCAATTGTCATTTTGGTCTATGAAATTACTAAAAGACATAGTTAGGGATGGTGTTAAAGTTTGATACATTCAAGAACTATAATATGTTGTCTCGTACATTTAAGGGACAAAATGACTGTTTATTCTATTTATGTGTATACTGTATTGGGGTTTATGTGTTCTTGCATTTGCTTGTAGTGAATTTGCAATGTGGAGGTGTTTTAGACCTGCATGTGGTTGGGCTGGTCAGGTAAACAATAACATGTCTTATGAGTTTTTGCCTCTTCTCAATCATAGAACTTTTGATGAGGTAGCGAATTACTTATATGTGATTATGTGGTTATAGGTTTTTGCAGATGACAAGGAATTGAACAATAAGCCTTTTGGACAAATGGATGAGAAGGGCTTGGGATTGGAACCACTTGGTGCTAAGGTATTCAAATTACTTTATTCTGTTTCAGAAGGCAGAATAATTGCCAATTTCTCTGAATGAATATAAGTGTATGGCCTTATCAGAGCCAATTCTCTATTTGCTTGTCAATACATTGCCACTTTCGAGTGCTAGTCAGATTATTTGCTTATGATTTTTCATTTTCCCTATTTTAGCTTGTTGCTTACTTTAAGGAGAGACTGATATCAGAGAAAACCTTAAGCAGAAATGCTGTAAGGCAATTGTCGGACGATAAGGTATTTTCAAGCTGTTGTTAAACCTCCAGTTTCTTGTTTTATGATTGTAAAATTTGTTCTTTTTGAAACTACAAGTTATAGAAGGAGGAGGAGAAGAAGAGAATACAGACTGAGTACTCTGGTTGATATTTACTTGATTTCATATGATGCATTATAAAATACAAAATGCTAATCCACGTTGTTACTCATGCTAAAATCTTGCGGAGACTTATGGCAATAGGGAAATCAATCTTATGTGTTCTAATATACAACAATATTGATTTTAGGGATATTTTTTCCGTAACAAATTGCTAGAAAAATAGACCCCGATTGGCTAATTGGTGTGCATCAACAAAAACTAATTTCTTTTCTCACTAAATGAAGTCAGTGACATGAATCAAATAATGCCATAATGTGTTGTTATGAACCATTTCTAAATGGAAGCTATCCTTACTTTTTTTTCAATGATAACATTTCTAGTCTTATCTTGTACGCCGATGCTATTCATCATGACAATTGAGTTTTTATTTTGTATTTTTCGTTAATATTTTATGTTGAAGGTTTAATTCTTCGAAACCTAATTAGTTAGTTCTTGACTTCAGTTTGTGTTGCAAAATTTATGCAGAACGTTATTGCTTTTACCTATAAACAAAATGGGTTGCTTGTTGGTTGTAAGTACAGAACAATGGAGAAAAAGTTTTGGCAGGTACCATTTCCAGTTTGAACCATGTTGGCATGTTGAAGTTGTACTTTAAAGTTGAGTTATTGGAAAAGAAAATCTTACGAGGACCAATGTGGTTACACCCTAATATTTGGAGGACCAATTAGAGGGTTTACTCTAAGCTACACATTTTCATATGAAATGCAATTGATGCTAAATAAACTGATATTGATTCAAATGCTAAACTTGATGTCCAGAGAAAAGGCACTAAGAAAGTACTTTATGGACTTGACGACATTGCTCACGCAACTGAAATCATCATTGTAAATTCCCTTTCATCTATTTTTCTCATCCGTGTATTATTTTGTTGGAAACCTCCAAATGAAAACTTCAAAAAGATAATTGAAGATATTCTTAATAGTCTGATAATGATAATAGGTTGAGGGGGAAATTGATAAGCTTTCACTTGAAGAGGCTGGCTATCTAAATTGTGTTAGTGTTCCCATCGGTGCACCTGGAAAGGTTTCTTCAAAAGCTTTGCCACCAATAGAAAAGGTTTGTGCTATTATTTAGTGTGATGCCTTTGTGATGCAAACATCAGTAATACTACTTGATCATTGTTATCTATTTGTCTTTCTGCATACTCATCTAAAGTACATGTTTCAAATAATTGATTTATTGCTTTAATCTATTAATTTGTGTTTGTCTTTATGAAATCAGGATATTGCATATCAATACCTGTGGAACTGCAAAGTGTACTTGGATAAGGTACATGGATTTGGCGACTTCCCTTTCAAATAAATCTTTCTAGAGCAGAAGGGATATCGTAGTAATTTGGTTTCCTCTCTACTACTCTTTTAGGCGGTTCGCATTATTCTGGCAACTGATAATGATCCACCTGGTCAAGCTTTAGCAGAAGAGCTGACACGGCGCCTCGGACGAGAAAGGTTATATGTTCTGTCATTTATTTTTTATTTTTGCATTATCTGGTTTTCATACATTATAATGACTCTTAATAATTTATTAGATCTTAGGATATGTTTTGCTTTTCTGTTTTGGTTTTCAGAAGAGACATGTGGATTAAATGCTTTTACTTTTGCTTGACATATAAGTTACGTATTGTATTTTATATTTACGAACTTATTTTTTTTCCGTTTTTTTGTTAACGGCAGGTGTTGGCAAGTACGATGGCCAAAGAAAGACGAATCCGCCTTCTTCAAAGATGCAAATGAGGTATAAGTCATGAATTTTTTGCAATTAATGATATATAATGCTTATATATTTTATTTTGAAAGTGTTAAGTTCATCTTGTGTGTGTGTGTGTGTGTGTATGTGTGTGTGTGTATTCAATTGTGGTTTATAGGTTCTCAAATACTTGGGAGCGGATGCTTTGAAGAGAATAGTTGAAAATGCAGAGCCATATAATAGTACACACTAGGTAATTCCATGATTTTCACCTAGGAATGTGAAGATGGTTTGTATGGTTTTAAATTGTAGTGATCCTTAACATTGCAGTGAAACGTGGCTGATATACCTTAATCGGTGTGGTCTACATCTTGTCCTCAAGAACTCTCTTCAGATTGTTCCACCTTGATTTATATATTTGAATAATGTAGTAGTTAGTAACATGTAACATCCACATTAATGACCCAAAATGTTGCATGAGACCAACATATGGAGTATCCCACAGGATGTTTGCGTTTTAGGCCCTAGAAGATCAGAGGAAGGTATCAAAAACCACCTGGCCTTCAATAAGAAATAAAATGTGCGACAAATAAACACAGTTGTACCATACAAAGTTATTGTCATACGAATATTAAGTCCGATCAATACAAAGATTTAAGTTAGAGTTCAAGATTGTTCCACTCTTGAAGCCATCTTATCAGACATTGATGGACTATGGACACAGATTGTCTACCATCCGGTAGGAAATGTAGATTGCCTTTGAATATTTTTGGTGTAGACTTTCTTTGAATATTTTTGGCCCATTAGATCAAATCTATAGTTGTCATGTGTCCATATATTTCTTTCTTTCATGTTGAAACAGATTTGTAATCCATCTCTTTTGTGTCATTTCTTGCCCGCTGCTGGCCTGATGTTGTGGCCACCACAACATGATTGCCGACATCCCATTTCCGGTGATGATCTTTGCAGTTGTTTTGCTATGCCTAAAACTTGTGAATACTTAAGAATTCTGATCTGTTAAAATCTAAGTTCCTATAAGTTTTGTATCTCTGTTTCAAATCATGATGTCAAACAAAACTGTAGAGATTTTGTAGATAGTGTTGTCATTCAATTTTCTTTAAGTGTCTGATGAAGAGAGAGAAGAGAGGAGGGAACATTTAAGGCCTCTTTGAATGACAACTATTTTAGGAATGAGAAAATCTATTTGATCGAATTTTTAAAAACCATTTTAGAAATGATAAAATCAAACAATGTTTTGATAAATAATTTTGTGAAATTTATTTTATTAAACAGTAAAAATGAGAAATACTTTTATCATAATTAATATTTGAATTTTTAGATGCTTAAAAGGTAAAATTAAAGAAAAATTATGTCTAATCAAAGTGGATGAAGAACTTTGTTTGCAAATAGAGATTCTAGAAGAGTGATAACGGCAGTAGCCTATGTGTTCTTTCCCTTCTCCGCATTTGTTTTTTCTTTCCCTGGTTGTATGTGACCGAGTTCATTAGAAGGTTATGTGTAACCATTTCTTTAAATTCACTTAACCTACCTATAATTTTATTATTATGTTGAATATTTAGTAGATTCTCTTTTCTCATGAAATTTGTCTTCTATCAATCCATTCTTTGGAGTATTCTCTTCTATCATCCATTTTTTTAGTTTACATTCACTCAAAGAGTATTAATCCAATCACCTAAGCTCGATAGGTGTATCATTGCTGCTTTCATCAATCATGAATACTATTGATATTATTAATGCCCTTCAATTCAAACTTGATGTTCAGACAACCATGTTTGGAAATCTCCTTCAAACCTCACTTGAATCGCATTATGTTTCCATTCATACCTACTTTGCATTAACACCTATGAGGTGGATCCAAAAGTGGTCAACATACGTAACAAAACACCTATTATGCCATCTTGCACCGCATTTTGGCCCATTTACTCGCTCTCTCAAGTTGAATGCTACTCTTTTAATGGTTCTGATGCCACATAATGGTTATTTTAGATTGAGTTGAATTTTTTTTTTAATTTTCACAAATTACTAGTAAACTCACATCTACACATTGTTGTTTTCACATGAATGGTCGCGTCGGTGCATGGTTTTAAAGGGCTATGCGCAATAACCTCTCCATGCCATGGGCGGAGTTTTTAGATGTTCAACATCATTTTGGCCCCACGGTGTATGAAAATGTTGAAGGTGACATTTTCAAGTTTTGTTATGGATGAAAATGTTAAAAGGTGACATTTCCGAGTTGTGTGTTTTCAGTATGATAGGAAATGGAGACATTCACATCGTTTTCACAACAAAGTTTCACTTTTCCTTGGTGAGGATGAGGGAAACCCTGAGAGCGACACCAACGAATCCCAACCTAAGGATGTGTCTAAAGACATTTCATGTTTACACGCATTACCCAACTAACGGTTGGGTTATTCCTTTGGGGTTTTGGCACGTATAGTGCGCTTAGTTTTCAAATCCTCATTGACAATGTTAGTACTCATTATTTCATCAACTTATCAATGATGGGGAGTTTTGGGTTATCCATGACAGCATGACAACTTGTGAGTGTGTTTTAGGTCGCTACTAGTGCAGACCATCGTTATTATGCCAATATTGTTGATTATATATACCTTTAATCCTTTTAAGTATTACTTTTTATCTGGATTTCTATATATTGGCAATTGAAGGACCTAATGTGGTCCTCAGTTTTCCTTTGTTACAATATTTAGGGAAAGTGTCCCATGATAATGCAACTTGGCCTATAGATTGCGGGCATGGTTAACCTATTACATGTATCTCATTGTGTTTTCATACTCCAGTTCCACATTCTAACACACAGTGCTTGCGTTTCAAATATTTTTTACCTTTACCTCTAACTTAATTGGAACTTCTACCATTATTGTTGTTCTTCAAGTTTTGAGGAGCATTTGCATGGCTCCCATGGATTTTCCCCATCACCAGTATGAATACCATTGTATTCACTTAGTGGAAGGAACTGATCTTGTTAACGTTTGTTTGTATCGTTATTCCTAATTTTAAAAAGAGGATATGGAAAAATTAACTCGTGAAATGCTTGATCAATACATCATTGCTACTAATCAAAACCTGTTTTCATCACTGATATTGTTGGTATGTAAGAAAGATAGTACTTAGTGTTATTGTGTTGATTATAGAGCTTTGAATGCAGCAACTCTCAAGGATAAGTTTCCCATTCCCACCATCGATGAACTTCTAAATGAGCTTAGTGATGCCTCAATATTTAGTAAACTGGAACTTTGGATTGATTATCATCAAATAAGGGTTTATCCCCGAGACACCCATGACAACCATTTTGAATTTCTCATTATGATGTTTGTTTTGAAAAACACTTCATACACATTTCAAAATACTATGAATCATTTCATTTCCCAATTTATCCAAAAAAAATTGTCATCATTTTCTTTGATGATATATTGATTTATAACTCTTCTTTTAAGGATCATTTGGCGCATTTGGAAATGGTGTTGGATTGTGTTCGTGGAACCACATATGAGAAGTTTAATCAAAGGTGACAGTGGATTGCAGTCTCCAACGCGGTGGAGTTGGGGTACCTGCAAGATTAGCATTTATGTGAATGAGAAAAGCAAAATGAAAATTGTATTTGAAATCCGTTACCTCGATTTGGCACATACTCTATATTTACAATGAGAAAAAAAAATAATAAACTAGCTATTTTGTGTGGCGCTCTTTGTGGGTGACCGTTGGGTGTGTTTTACAATTGAGATCTCTCGGAGCCTTGAGAGTAAGATTCTTCGAAGATCTAAAAAGTTCTTTAAAGATATAGAACATCTAGTAGAATGTTGGCCGAGATGACACTGTAGTATTAGTTCGTCCAAGGTCTTCTTGGTCGGCCCAAGCCTGAGTAGGCAGGGGCTTGTTGTTATGACTTTGAATGACGATAATGTCATAATTATTTGAGGTAGTCAAATGAGGATCACTTCACTTTTTTTAGGAACCATGTATTTAATGCATCATACTTCTAACGTCTTTTCGTAGGTATCATCATGATGGGTTATTGGGAACTTAAACTCTTGAGTGTTACGTGTGAGAGGCTTAGATGTGTTTGCTGAAGTCTTTTTTCTTCTAAGGCGTTGTTGTTTTTCTAAGGGATAAGTGTCTTTCTTCTTTTTTGGATTCTTCTTTTCTAGTTTGACAGTTTCATTGGCTCTTTTTCCATTTTTCACTCCCTATAATTGCAAATTCAGTGCATTATAAATAAGAAATCACAGAAAAGTAACAGAAACTCTCAAAAGGATACTCCATCTTCTTGGATGGACCTTGTTTATTTTTCCACTGCTTCTGTTTTTGCCCAACTAGAAGGCGTTAATGATGTTTCTTCAAAAGGAGGGTTGTCTTCTGATTGGGGAATAAGAATCTCTTCTAATGACAAAAGGGTATGCGACAAGTATGGTGTCTGTGTCATCCCCTTTTTATGAATGTGATTTCTCCACCATGGGCCTTCGTCTTCTTTTGAATGCTTTTGAAGTAGAAGTGTTGAACCATCTGGTCGTGGCTCCCTCGAACCTCCACCCCTCATGTTAGGCATATATGAGATTTTACCGATACTAGTTTAAGGACGTGAATGGAAAAATGATAACTCATTTTATGTGAGATATTCAATCCTTTTATACTTGAAATTTAGGGTAATTTATATCTTGAGTAATGTCATTTATTTATGTTTTATGTTACTTTAGTTAATATAAGATAAAGAGTACTAGGTTCTCTCTTTTGTTAATTTTATGTGTTTTGTGTTTGTGTAGAATTGGCTCGGGTGATGACTTATGTCACGCCAGGAATCCTTAAACAACACTCAGCAGGCCTTGATCCAGAAGATTCTAGTATGAGCTCTCAACTTCAGGTTAAATGCTGACGTAACAGAGATTTGAAAGGAAAATAGGTATTTGTTAGAGAAAATGAATGGATAAGGACGAAACACTACAAGACAAAACTCTAAAAAGTTGTCAAGGTTTGTTGCCATTGTACTGTTGTTGCTGCTACTGCAGTGCTGCCATGGTGTCATGTTGTCTCCCATGTGCAGTGTACTATATAGTATAAAACAAATGAATATGTTTTATTCTTTGGGCTTAAGTAAATGTCTCATTGTAAAGGCTTAAGAATCAAATAGAGAGACATTATGCAGCTGAAAAACCTCTATAAATAGAGTTGCAATGCATCGAATAAAGGGGTTTTGAAACTTGGAAAGAATTATGCAGA